TTCCACGATTCGTAATTCGCTCTCTAAGTAATTCGCCAAGTAATTCTTGAATTACCCAGTTTCCACGACACACTTTTTTACGCGCCATTTGCATTAGGAATGAAAGTTTTCTAAGTATTAATCGAAATAGAATAATATGAAGGTACGAAGTAACCTGAGATCGCCAAAGCCAAATAAATTTTAGTCAACACTTGTACAATGCACTTACAGATTTGTAATTTTAATATATTACCAAATACAACTAAAACTTTCTCGAGCTAAAGAAGTGCTAGAAATTTTGAAAAGAGCTAAAAAAAAGATCTACGAGCTAAAGCCCAACTTTCGGAGCTACATTGAAAAATAAGGAGCTAAATCTAGCTCCAATAGCACCACAGTGGGAATACTGCCTCGTATACAAAAAATTGCAACTGAATTCGAATTGCCATCTTAACACCAGCTTATACGGCCATATGGAACTACACCACTATTCTGCAACACTTTCGAATTCGGATTTTGCTACGAATCGTGGAAATGATATGCTGCAATGGAATGGCATGCCTAAAAACGAACGAGCAAGAAATTGACTGCTTTTTTGCGTAATTTTTTACGAAAACGATTCTGTGTCGGAAGCGAGATGAAAACGAATGTGTTTTTGCAGGAAATATTAGTGGTGTTCTTTTAAACAGATACATTTGATTTTCGCATATACGTATATTTTAATCCACTGCTTTATATGAACGAACAAAAAGAATGTTTGTTGCCTCTTATCGAGAAACTTGGGTACGGTACAGTTATTTGTACAATGATTTTGGGTTGTTGTAACCAAACGCATCACTCGAATCTAAAAAATTTAACATACTCTTGACTACACGGGACTGTAATTTAAAACAAAGGTTCCAAATTTCCGAGCTATTTTTTTGTAAATTTCGATGTAGGTTCTGCGCAAAGACAAAGTGGATGGCGTAGCCGGAGTTATATGCACAATAAATCTTGTATGCCTTTGACATGCGGATGCCCGTCTTCTCGGGCAAAACATAAAGGAGAATTCTACTTAGTAAGGGATATAATCCCTAAGCGCGGCCGAAGGCAGAAGCAAGCGCAACAGGTGGAGGACCCAACAAAGTGCATGTTTTCAATGGCTTGGAAGAAGCTTTGTTTTCCTTTATACAGCTGACTTCGAAAAACAACTGATAGCTGGCAATGCTGCACATTTTTCGGCAAGGGTTGCAGCATGTCGATATTTCGTCTTTCGTAACGTACCTACGAATTACGAACTACGAAAATTCGGGTTCTGGAATAAGGGTGTTAATTTTGCCGTTTTACACCTTTCAAATTGCTTATGTGATTTTGATTCTACCATAACTTTTACATTTCATCCTTCTTTTTATAAACTTGCAGTATTTAATTTTAATCTCTAGCCTAAAAGTTTTCGTTTAGCAATTTTTTCTCCAATAACTGCGTTTAAAACACACGACTAGTCGAGATATATAATAACCGATTTCAAAGCTTGCCAAAAATCTCCCTAGTCTGAAGATTTTGGCACTGAACCTATTCTGGTTAAGGATTAAATTATACTTTTTCTCATTCTTAAAAAAAAACGTCAAAAAATACCAAAAAATAGCGCAAATGTTGTCGTTTTAGTTTGTTTTAGAGAATTGAATGAGCGTTAACACTGCATCCACGAAGAAAAGTAACTAAAAACAATCTAGTAAATTCACCGAACAGTTAAAGTTGAAAATATGTTGAGCTTATTCTGCTGATTGACACTGTTTATATTTAATTTACTTAAAATTCAGTTTCTTCCAACAATCCTTAAAGTACCCGCACTCCTTCGTTTATAAATTTCCAGATTATATAAACTAAGAACTATCGCAAGCGCCAATTCTTTCATAACTTTCCTCTCAGCATGTTGAGGAAAATTATTTTAAGCACCATCTTACCTTTAGAAAATAAGCCATGCAAAAAATAAATAGTCCATTGGAAAGCTAGCATCCAATAATGTTGTTGTCCATTTAAATCCAATCAAATTTTTACACTGTTTAAGGGAGAATTAAAAAAAACCTCTCGTGTAAAATTTACCTTTTAAAATCGCAAATAGGGTTCGATATGTTCGGTAACAGTCAGAATATTCCTGTTAATATTTTTTCTCTCGATGCTGTTCGCCGACTTTGACAGCCAAAGTTATCCCCATTTATTTTAATTTCACTCCAAATAGATGGCCTTCAAAGCCATGGATCCTCGACACCACAATTTTCGTATTTTCTAGAGGTAAAAGTGTTCCTGCTTGATCCATTCTTGCTCTTCTTCATTACAATGAATTATTATAAGCCCGGTTCGTGAAGAAAAATAAAGCGCCTATTCAAGCGAAGCGGGGTGTACTTATGTAAAAATGTCAATTGTAGGTACACTAGCTTTGCCTCATCCTCCAAAATAAGCAAATTAGGTTTCCCACCATAAATGAACTCTAGGTGTTTCTTGTGCCTTCCCGTTGCCTCCTTTTTCCTGTTTGAGCGAAGCGGGTAATGAGGAAGTAACATTTTTTGGTAGAAAACCATTACTTTACATTAGATACTATACTTGCATAAAAAATTCTAAGCTAAATGTTAAACCTCATGTCAAAGAGATCCTACGGCCGTCTGCAAAAAATAAAATATTAAAAAGCAATTTCAGTGTTCAGCAACTTAAAACTTGCACTTGTTTTACTAGAATTTCATAGATCATGTAACTGCATACCCAAAAATAGTTAGAGGGTATTCATATTAAATTTCTCTTAAAAATTTCTTGAACACCCTAATGTAGTTACCCTGTGGATATACTAAACATATACTTATTTACATGTGTATACATACATACTTATTTATCTGTGGGTATAAATACATTAGCACAATAAATAGAACGGAAGCAAGTTAAAAATTATTTAATATATGTACATTAGACTCCGCCTTAGTTGCATGGAAATATATTCTGTTAAACTACAAAGCAACAAGGAACAAATGTTCCTTTGGTTTGCCGTGCCAAAAATTTTTAAAATCGGACAACAGAAAGACGTGGCTGAAAGGCCCTAAAGTTTAACATTTTCATGAAATTTTTCACAAAGTGGTCAAAATTGCCTATAAGTCAGTAGGAAATTTAATATGTTTTAATGGCACTTGATGTAGTTTTGTCCCCCCATGTCAAACCTCCTGAACTTATAAAGTTATTGACGTTTTTTTCACGTAAGATTACAATTAAACCTTGGCAAATGTTTTTAGTTTTTGTTAGGAAACTTTGTAAACATTTGTAAGCAAAATTTTATAACGGTCAAAACAAAAATCATGACTTTCAAATTGTATGTATCATATGTAAGGATTAACGAATAATAATACGCCGTAAATAAATTTTAGCCCCACCCTACTTAATTCGGTCTTCAAACTCATCCACCATGTAGTACGAGTACGGCCAAGTACGAAATGGCGTAACATTATTTCGTGGACAAAAAAGTATTTCGTACAAAAAATGATTGCACATTTTCATTTGACCATTCACAGCTTCTTTAGTTATTCGTCGATTTTCATAGTTAGTAGCTTGAGTTTTTTGCAAAAGAACAGGCTCGGTTTTCTTCAAGACATGCCTTCAATTGAGCCTTAATGTCTCATTTTCGCTCGAGGAATATAAAATTCCTTCTTGTTTGCTTAAAAGACTTTTAGCAGAACTTGCGAATGTCGATGCGAATGTTCAAAATGTGGTGGATCATTCGCTTAATCGAATGTGATTACAAATATTCGTAACATCCCTATTATACACATACAATAGTATCGTTTCGTTGCGAGAGTGTGTTCAACTGATGTTAACCGTTTTTCGTTTCCAAAGAGTTATTATTCCATTCCGATGTTATTTTAAAACTCGTTTTGGTTTGTATTTATGAAAATAAAGCTGCCACAGTTGCATGCTCCCATTATTTATGATTTGCAATATTACTTACTATAAGTTCCCAATTTTAAATGCAACTGTGCCCGTCAATTAAAGTAGCTTGCAGCTAGTGCACCCATTCTCCGTTATCGAGTTTTTACTTAAACAATATAAACACACTAGTAGAGTTATTGTTACGATTATCCTTGAATTAATACCTAAATTCCTAAATTCTTCGGGTTCTTTTTACTGGATTGTTAAATCGTTTACGTTACGAAAATGCCTTTTTCATTAAAAATTTACGGTTACTGTTTATTAACAAATTGTATTCAATACAACACCTGTATAGTCTGCAGAAGCTACATAAATAAATGAATAGATTCATGAAGATTATTTGTTTTGTAATGTAATTTTTTTATGTTTTATTTTTTATTATAAAAGTTTATCAAACAAATTTTTCTTGAGTGAATTATTTTCAGGTATGTAATTTTTTTTAAGGAATTGGCATCGACATCGGCCGCGTCTTTGTCCTAAGGCCGATTAATCGGCATCGGCATCGGCCAAAAATTGGGAATCGGTCTGACTCTATACACTAGTGCATAAATACATACACACACATACATATCGTCACCTGAAATGCAAAAAGGCGTAACAACGTCGTTAATGAAATGTAAAAAGTCGTAACTAATATTAAATTTTTGTTTCATAAAATGATGTGGGGAGTTGTGGTTCGATGAAATCCATCATATAAATCAAAAAGTCAATTTTGAATTTTTTATTAGTTATGACTTTTTGCATTTCAACGATGATGTTTGTTACGTCTTTTTGCATTTCAGGTGACGATATATAATACGCACATTTGTAAATATGCTTAAAAAGTAGTGATTTGTTCGGTAAATAGCGTTTGGCCTCTGTTTAAGTATATCTAACGCTTTGCTTTCACTTTGCTAATATCATTACTATCGATTATACACACCCCTTTCCCACCTTACTATCTTAAAAATCTTATCTTTGTGAACTAACTACTTTAACTACACAACAAATTTTATCGGGCTAAAATGAGAAAATAAAAGCAATTTAAAAAATATTTAAAGAGAATTCGATTATTTCCATCTACTTACCAATCAATTCAGGTGGAAACTTGCCAGGAGAAGATAATCTCATTAGAGTTGCAAGATCCAGAAAGTGACGATGACGATGGAAGCGATAGCAGAAATGTTAAAAGCAGCAGTCCGCTTACATCATCAACTTACGGAGCAAGTGCCAAAGACGCAAAAACAGTGGCGGCAGCAGCAACACAAGCAATTGTTGTAGTTGCCGATGAGACGTTAGAGGATGAAGAGCCACCAGAGCTGTTAAGGGAAACAATGTTGCTGGACACGGTCGACGAGTATGACGACGATAAAGACGGTGACAAGGTAGATAAAGCAAATGATGATAATGGTGATGATGACGATTACGACGAAGAGGAAGATGCCGCCTCCATAGTGACCGTTCATGCAAATAATGAAAAACTATTTCTACGCACCGATGACGAATTCGCAACTTTTGATGATTTCGACGGCTCTGGCAAGTTCAGTACCGCATCCATTGATAGCATGGCGTCTGCATCGAAGTTGCGAATACAGCCTATGCCAATAAAAATACATCAGACATTGGCTAAGGAAGTTGTTGTAACAGCCCCGATGATCCCGGCAGATAGAACTCTCACATCGACACATTCTTCATCTCCAACAAAGAGTGAAACCACAACACACACTATTGTGGAGGTGGTAAATCCGCTGATAACCGGAGAAGGACAGGTACAAAGCATTGTGGTGGGTAAGACAATCGAATACGAATATCCAATTTTCGACAACGAAACGCAGGCAAGACTGCGGCCAAAGGGAGTTGAGATTCAGCAAGCGGCTTGCATTGAAGATGAACACGATAATGACTCTGAGACTGAACAATTGGCTGCTGCTTCAGCGGGAGTGCTCCGTAGTGATACGTTTGTTTTACCTACACAGGAAAAACAAAAAAATTTACAGTTGCTACACCAGCCGCCACAGGAACTTTCACTGAATGCGAAAATGAAAAACGTGTTGGTGGAGCTATTAGAGAATGAACGTGTTAAATTGAATTTACAGAAAAGTCTTGAAGAAGATGATGATGAGCAGCAAGAGATGGCCTACGGCGATTCTGATAAGGATGAAGACGACGAGGTCGATTATGCGGTAGCGCGTGGTACAGTGATCAGAGGCGGTACGCGTTTGGCACCAAGAGGCGTGGGTGATAATAATGGAAATGAGCGCCTACTGGAGGAACTAATAAAAGACAGTAATAGGAACACAATTGAAAAATTGGCTGGAGGCTTAGACGACGATGAAAGCGATGCGGATGAGGATGATGATGACGAGGAGGAGGAAGAAGATTCCTTAGATTCGAGTGATTCGGATGACGATGCTGAAGCAGAAGATGATGAAGAGGCTGTAAATGTAACACTGGTCGACGGGTGTCAAGTTATTGAAAATCGCAACACGGAAGCCCCGCTGAAATTGCAAAAATCTCAAACTTATACTACCATTAAGGAGGCAGAGAATGTGTTAGATAAATCTACTACCGAGGCCACTGCCGAACTAAAATATGTAGACAAGGACATCGAGCATACGGTCGAAAAACTGCAAGCAGAACAACGCAAGCTTGAAGAGATCACAAAACAACTGCGCAAATCTGTTGAGAATCTTCTGGCCGATGACGACGCAATGGCAGGAGCAGTATGCCTGGAAAACGAAGAGGGATGTGGTGCATCCACCGAAAGTCCCAAACAGGGTATTTCACGCACTGTAGAGACGAAGACTGTCATAGATGAAGATGGCGGCAAGAAAACTATTGTTGTTGAAACCATACACAAGGCCGATAGCAAACCGAAGTGTTCTGAGCAGTCCCAAGAAGAGTCTGGCGAGGCACTTTTTAATAAACTTCTTCATGCCGGCGGCGATCTTAAGCAAATATTCGATCAACAAACAGGCGAGAGTGTTATAACGACCACTACCACCGATCCCGACGGGACTGTCACCACCACAACGACTACAATTTCGAATGTGATAAAAAGTGGCATTCCGCGAGCAGTGGTATTGAAATCAGAAGCGAGTAAAACTCAAGGGACTACGGATGCGGGGGCAGTTGGCCATGACAGAGGTGGCCAATTGCCATTTGAAACTACGGTAACAACTACAATGTCCAGCTCAGTAGAAACTGCTGGCAGTAGTAAACAGAGCAAACAACCAAGTAAACAAAAGCGTAAAGGAAAACAGGCAACAAGTAAATAGACGTAAAATGAACGAAAACATTGCTCTCGACACGTAGACGAAAACGCAGCAGCCTTGCACAAAGCACAAATCGTGCTCACTTACATATATAAAAGTATACATAGTTCGTGTATGTATGTGCATACAAATATGTATGTATGTATTAAGGTAATGGCATGGAAACAAAATGATAAAAAGAGACAGACTTAGAAATAGAGCCATCCGTTTCGGGGATTAAAAGTGGTACCATTGGAAAGCTGGAGTACTCCAATTTTCAAATATACATACCTACTTTTAGGTGCGGAAGCGTTCTAGTTTTAAAGATATTTAGTCTTAATGTTTTTTACTTGCTTAGTAAAGAACACAATTTATTCGTGAAATCACTTTAATTGTTTTTGTTTTGTTTTCCATAGAGAATCACTTATATTTTATTTATCCAATATTCTTTTAATTTAACTATTATCCTAAATGGTGGCACGCACATTGAAGTAAAAAGAATGTGTTACCAGATTTTAAAAGCAAACACAAAACATAAATGTTAGAGGCGAATTTCAATGTAAAAAAAATACATTTGCTTTTTATTTTCTTCGTTTTATTCGCCGGGAGTTTAACAATTATGAGGGACTGGTTTCATGCCTCCTAAAAGAAAATGTTTTTACTGGTGTTTTTGGGGAGACCCTGGGCCAGCGTAGCCAAAGTTATGAGGGTTATTTTTTTGGAGCGTGTCCGAAAGAAGTTCCGCGCGAACACACTAATGCTAGTGTAACCGGATGGTATAAATTATGAAAATTTCCTAAAAAGGTAAAACATACAGCTCTTTCGGAAAAAGCGTTAATACTAAGTATCGTATCGTAAAAACGGATCCGGCATATAAAAGTGAGTATTTCTAAAAAGGAGGCCTCCAGCATTCCAATGGTACCAATTTTATCCCTCAAATCGGGGGTATTTAAATGAAAGTTTGCCCAACAAAAGAACCGATATTTAATAATTCCGAAGGCAGAATAAGTATAAATTATATCGATGTGTACGCCAATTATGTAAGTGACCTAATGGGGTGGTAAGTACAAATACAAAACTCAAAAAGTGCAATGAGGTCTGAATATCTAATGATTGATGAAGCGATCTCCGTAAAGTGGATATATTTTTTTTTGGATTCACTATTATTAATAATAGTCTAAATTTTTGTAGCAAGAAAAACTTTGAAAATGTTCTTGTTCAACAATGCGTTACACAAACATATCGATATTCATATTGAAATGCATGTTCATATATATGTACTACATACATTTGCCCTGAATGTAGTCGCCGATAATTTATGCAGTTTTATTTACTTTTACTTTTCCATAAAACAGATAATAATGTTTTTATTAACAAACAACCACTTGCATTTATCATTTGTAACTAATATAGAGGTCATCAAGTAATTGTTTTTGTGTCATTATGCATTTAGGTAACGATACCCAACCGACATTACATGTAAAAATACATATAATTCTCAAAATCGTCATGATTCTTTAAGTTGGTTTATTTTTTAAAGCAAAGGATTTCATTTAATTGAGTTAAATAAAATTTTTCTTTGCTTTATATTTTGCCCTAAAAAAGTAATTTTGCATTTATTTTTGCCGTTTTACAAATTTATTTTTTCAATCGCTTTTTTGGTTTGTCTTGACAATTTTAGGAGCAAAAATAATGCTGCGCAAATAAAATCCACTGTACTGGCGTCCGAAAGTCTTCTATATCTATAACCTATATATATGTATGTATTTATCTCTGTTCTCCGTGCATATGAATAAAACGTACATAGATTAACGAAACATCGTTAGTAAGATAAATCGATGAACAAAATTTTAACGACATAAAATGTGAAAAACGATCGTCCAAAATTCGTAAAAATTTTTTAGCATAGAAGAAAAATTCCACAAAAATATGAGAAACTCCTCAATTAAAATACATACCTTGAATTTGATTATAAGTAAATTAATCCCTTTGCACCATTCCGTTCATAATTTGATTTCCTAGCGTTTGGAAATGCAATTTTAAGAGAGCAACTGATTGTATCTCTGATAACATTTACATGTATTTGCACAAATAATTTAGTATATTTATGTTTGTATGTACATATAATACGTATAAATTTGTATTGCTTAACTGTTGTGTCTATATATGTGTGCATATTTGTACAAAAAGATTAAAATGAATTTTTTTACACTACGATATCAATTTTGTTTAAGAATACATTAGATATGTTCAGAAACATGAATATGTATGTAGCAAGGTAAATTCGAACATACAGGTGTAAATTCAATGCACAACTAATAAAGTAAGATCAATACCGCCCTGAAGCAAACATGCACGTACGCAAGATTGAGGTCAGTACGTGTGTAGCTAAATTAATTTTATTGAGACTATACATTCTATACATAAATACAAGCATATACATACACACATACAACAAATAAGTATAGGCAAACATAAAATAAATAAATGTATGTATATCTCTCAGCTGGATTTAAAATCCTGTATTAAACTTTTAAAGAGAAAATTTTATAATGTCTTTGAACAAAAAAGGCAAATATTAAAAGTAAATAATCGAATATATTTTATAGTAGCTAACTGAATTGTAATAAAATTTTAATCACTTTTATTAGAAAAAATATGTCTATTTTTTATTTATTTATGTGGAAAAATGGTAAGTTAGTTAAAAACTCAATATGTATTTGGTAAATCAGCCCATATGTATATACTATATATACCCAGAAAGCAAAAAATCGCGAAACGTATTGTAAAAGTTCTTTGCACTCTTAGGTCTGTGCCAATCGGCAACTTTTTTCTCCGTGATGAGCCGGGGTGAAAAAATTTGCTATGGTGTACAAATAAATTGAATTTTGCTGTGCCAAATACAAAGTAAAATTTTGACAGTTGGAAAATAAAACACACGCTTGTGCGGAAGCTCTATTTTTGTGTGTTGTTGGAATTGTTAAAATTTATGTTTATTTTGTAACTTGCAAATAACGTACTTTTTTGTGCTTTTTTAGCTTTAATTTTCATGTATTCAACAATTTATATTGAGCTCGAGCCAGTGGGATCGTCGGTTCGAATCCTACTGAAAGAAGTCTGATGAGGAAATGTGGTGATTTCCGAAATAGCTATCACTTCTACCATTTTTTCAAATTATTGTTGCTTTTCCACAATAAAAATTTTCATTTAAAACGGCCTCGAGCTCAATATAAATTGTTGAATATAACTGTTATAAAGGCCAAAAAAGTAAGAAAAACAAATAATTTAATTTTCATGTTCACTCTTTATTACCGCCAAGCAATTTTATGTGTATACATGTTTATAAGCTGTATTCATTCCAGGTGTAGGTATTCGTATTAACCTCGAGAAATGCCAAACTTTTACTTTGATCCATCAAAATTTCCTCTTTTCTATCAATTGGCACAGATCCTTAATGTAAATTTTAGGTGTGTTCCCCAAACCGTTCGCTTTGCCAAATTTCTTCGCCTCGCAAGCAGTGTTGCCAAATGTTAATCTGGTTAACCCCCCTATTATGAATCTAACTATCGGATTTCATACAACAAACATCGTTTAGTAATATGGGATAACAAAATGCAAGCGGACGAATTCATAATATAGGGTTACACTTAAAAATAATATGATTGAGTAGTGTAGGGTATCAGATCGTATCGGTTACAGGTTTTTTGTTTGACTCTAATAAAAGCACATAATATACTTATGTATATAAACAAATAATTATAATTACTATTATAATACATACACTGGGAGTTTTTACAATCGACAGCACATGTGCAGAGGGATATTAAACCCTAGTTTTTATAACGTCTGTTGGTAAAAGATCACAATGAAAATGCATGCCAAATTGCTTAGGTTGAGGTGGGAAACCGACCATTCTCTATTAACTAACCTTGTGTGCAGAAGACAATTCAGGCATAAACTTAAGTTAATCACCAAACCTACTTACACATCGGTGTTCCAGATATAACAGAAAAAAGAAGAAATCTTATAATTTCGAAATTGGTCGTTATTATTGAGAAAGGAAAGAGAACCAAAGACAAAAATGTTTAACGCCATCGTCACAGCGCGAAATAATGCATTATATATTTATGAAATAACTAGCAAATGCCTGGCTTGCTTCGCGACGCCATATATGAACTTTTGCGTTAACCAATACAAAAATAATGTTGCTATGCAAAAACGGTTTGTAATCCAAAACAATATTAGTTTAGGTTGGAACGACTGAACAGCAGGACCTTGCTTGCTCATAAGCCAAGAATAATAGCGGTGAGATAATATTTGGGTTAAGTACTAATCTCCTTCGATGCAAAAAAAAAAGTAAAACCAATAACTTACTTACTAAAAAATGGTTTATTATAGCTTAAAATTATTGTAACCAATAGAGGTAAATATGTTGTACAAAAAACAAATAAACAGAAGTTCACAAAAGTTGATATACAACTATTCGTCGACTTAAATTGTTAACATTTTATTGAGCATGTTTATTTTACGAGGAGGAAGCATCGAAAGCCTAACCCCGTCCGTGTGAGAGTTTAACCCAAACTAAACTTCCTACCGTCTTGTACCGTTCCCCTCCCGGTACCACCGTCAAGGATTTCGTCGGGATTATAACACTGTGTGTCTGATAATAGATATAGATCTATTCTCTTCTTCTTCTTCTTATTTGGCGCTGTAACCGCCAAAGCGATTTTGGCCAACTGACGCCAATTGGAAATGCCAAGTGAAGCTAGAATACTTTCAGAGCTGAGCAGTTGAACCGCTGTATTTTAATTCGCCATCTATCAGCACGGGCATAATGAGTGACTTTATCGGTGTTAATGATGGTTCCCAAGTAAACGAAATTCTCTACTTTCTCGAGATTATAACTGTCAAAATTGACGTGGGTGCCAAGGTGCGAATGTCCTGACTGTTTGTTTGATGATAGGATATACTTCGTCTTGTCGTCGTTTACCACCAGACCCATTCGCTTTGCTTCCTTGTCCAACTTCGAAAAGCCAGGGCAGACTTCGCAGTTTTTCTTACCGATGATGTCAGTGTCATTGGCATAAGCCAGCAATTGTACGCTCTTGTAGTAAATTGTTCCTAAACGGTTCAGTTCTGCAGATCTTATTATCTTCTCCAACATCAGATTAAAGAAGTCACATGAAAGAGAGTCGACCTGTCTGAAACCCCGTCTGGTGGCGAACGGCAACAGAGCAGAGCTGGTGGTATTGCTCAACGTCATTTTTCACAGCCGCATGAGTTTTAAGGGATACCAAATTCAGACATAGCGGCATATAGGAAACTCCTTTTAGTGCTGTCGAAAGCGGATTTAAAGTCGAGAAATAGGTGGTGAGTGCCGATCCTTTTCTCGCGGGTCTTTTCCAAGATTTGGCGTGCTGTGAATACCTGGTCTATGGTAGACAATACATTCGATAAGACCTTGCAACCTATGCTTAGAAAGTTGATCCCGCGGTAGTTGGCACGCATGGCGGGGTCGCCTTTCTTGTGGATCGGGCAGAGCGCACTTGAATTCCAGTCGTCGGGCATGCACCTTATTACCTCGTTGCCATCGTTATTAGATAGCTCAGCTGACAGGCCGTCAGCTCAAGGAGCTTTGGCACTTTTTGTCATAGTCAGGCGCTGGGATATCGACTCCTTCGTCATCGAGTTGGACCTCGGGTTCGTCTTTTCCACCTCTTTCAGTGATTCTGCCATTCAAAAGGGTCGAAAAGTGTTCCCTACATAATCTGAGTACGTTCTGGACATCGGTCACTAGGTCGCCATGGTTGCTCCCACAAGAGTCTTGAAACCTTCCGTAAGTCGCTCAACTCGCTGTTAAAAATTACGTGTGTTTTTTTCTGTCGTCCAGCATTTCAAGCATTTTCTCACACTCCTCATCGTACCAGTAATGAGCGGGAAATGTGGTTCTACAGCTCGCGCAAGTCCATTTGTTGAAGAGTGCTCTCTCACAGCAGGTGTGAAGGTCGAGCGAAAGCTAAAACCATTGGCCGTCTGTGTTGATTGCAGCTTTTCGACGTTGAACTTTCCTTGCATTGTTGGGGGCCCTTTTTTGCTGCTCCGAGGATCGGTCGTATATTGGATGCATCAATATAGTAGTGCGAGTCGATGTTTGACCCTCGGAGTGTACGTATGTACATCTAAAACGTGGAAGTATGCCTTCCGTCTATCACAACATGCTCGATTTCGTTTCCCGTTTTTCGGTGTGGAGACATCCATGTAGCTTGTTATATTTTTTTATGCTAGAACCCAGTAATACATACTGCCAAGTTTCGGACCCTGGTGAAGTCGATCACCCTAAGCCCGCCGTTTCTATGTGGAGGTTGATTGTTCCGACACTGGCGCCAAAGATCCCTTCGTTGCCCACCTTGGCATGTACGCTCTAAGCTAAGAGAGCCTTGGATGCCTCGTCCTTCTCTTCCATCGGGGCATTGGCACATATGAATGAGATGTTGAAGAATCTCGCTTTGATGCGGATTGTGGCTAGACTCTCGTCCACTAGAGTG